AGTGGGTTGTCATGCCCTTCTCCAGGGGATCTTTCCAACCCAGGAATCGAACTCAGGTCTCCCGCACTGCAGGGGGATTCTTTCCTGTTTGAGCCACCAAGGAAGCCCAAGTATAGCAATGAGTGTTGCATTTTCCTAATAATCAGCACTTGGGTATTATTGACAGCTGAACAACGAACAGATGAAGGCTCTGGGCCCATTGATCCTTGGCCGAAATTATCTCATGAAAAGTTTTAAGAATCAAATAGTTACTTCTGTTTTTGTCTTTAGTTTTTAATAAGCACCATTTCAACTGGACTAGGGTTCTGAATCTGTTATTTCCTCCATAATGTTTCATAGCTGTATCTAACAGATACAGGACACAGGACACAGATACTGCTCTAATACACCTCTAATAAGGTGGTCTACCAGGTGACAGAGTTAAAGATCAGCTCTTCTCTTAGGTGAGTTCATACACTGACATTTGCTCCTCAGCAGATATTAGCCATCATTTTGTCTCTACAGTGTATATGAATTACCCAGTGGAAGCAAAAGTATTCAATTATTCTGATTTTCCAGTTTTTATTATTCTCTAACAGATCATGTCTTTTTGGCATTTTCATTTCAGAAACATAAAAGCAATTCATTACTAAGTAGAATGTCCTTGATTAATATGAAAAGACAAGACCATTGTCTTAGTCCAGTGCATTACATGAATAATCAACATGGACAATAGGTAACAAGATATTTTGAAAGTAGCACCTGACTACCTATAGAAAAAGAGACCCTCAAAATGTTCACACCACTGTCTAGTCATCTATGCTTAAGTAGTCTATGTCAGCCATTCTCCAGGTGTGGCTCCAGGACTATCAGTATATTACCTGGGAATGTTAGGAATGCAAATTCTCAAGTCCTAATACTAACCCAGACCAACTGAATTGTGTTTTAACAAAATGCTATTGCATGCTGTTGTTGAACCATTGCCTAAACGGTGCAGTCTCTAGGCAAGGAGACAGCAAGGAGCTATCAGAAGGCAATTTGCTGTGAATCTCTTGCCACCTTTTCTGATCTCCTGTTCCCCCCACCTCAAACCCATCAAGGGCTGATGTAAATTCCAGAAGGAAAATGGCTATTTTGCTTATGCTCTGTGCAAGCCAACACTGTTAGTCACAAAGATCTCATACAGAGTTGACTGTAGTCTGTGAAGTCAAGCTCTCTGGTTTCCAATACTGGCTTCACTTTCCACCAGCTATTTCTCATCTCCTCATCTTAGTTTCCTCTATTTGTAAAATGACAGCTAATAATGTAATTACCTCAGGAGGTCATCCAGATGATTAAATGTAAAGTGCTTGGCATAAGTGATTCATAAATGATGCTATTATGTTACAAGGTTCCTCTCCTAGGCTGTACTTTGGTACAAGTATCAAGGTGGGCATCACTTCAGTTGTATAATTACATCATATTTAGTGTCATATTAGGTGGGAAAGTTAGGCAAACAATTATGAATTCACATGCTGCCTTCCTACGTATCATGTCAACAGAATTAGGGAAATAACGTTTATAGAACATGGAGTAGTTAACATTCAGCTTAGGTTTCCGTCTCCTGATGTAACAAACACAAAGTTCAGTGTTAAACTCAAAGCTGCTATCTCCAATAAAATCAGGCTAACTTTGCAGTTCACTTACTTGTAATTTTACATGACCATTATAAAACTTTTTCTATGTGAATACTGTCATGACCATCTGATCATTTAGAACAGTAACATTGAAGATGTGCATTAAAATCCACTTGATTTACCAGTGGACATTTTATCACATTCAGGCCTCAGTCAATGCTGTTCACTTATTCAAAGTATAAAGTGGATAATTAGCCTAGAAGATTCTCATATCTTTTTAAATCTTGAAATATTACTTCAAAATTTAATGTAGTAGGATCAGAAGCACTTACCTTTCCATGAAAGTATTTCTACTTTCAATATTAGGAAGAGGATTGCAGCCTATTTTTAATGGTAGGACTGTAAGATCCTTCTGTTTTTGTACATGTTCAAAAGGTTTCTAGGTTTTAAATTTATTGACATTGGGGTTCAGTTAGTTTCCTTTTGAATCCCAGATGATACATGTGGTATAATAAAAAAATAAGTATCCTGGTTCCGGGCAATGAGCTCTTAAAACCCTTGTAATTTCCTGAGTGATATCTTCTGTTATTCCTCACGCCTCTACCTGAGTTTATGTAATGCAGCGACTTAGCTTCGGTCACCAGTCATCAACCATATGGATTAGAGGGCTAGAACTATCGCCCCGCCCCCAAGGGAAGTAAGTAAACAAGGTTAAGGGAGCATCTGGGCAAACACATCCATGTGCTGGGAGGGGGGAGCACCAGGTTAGGACAGGATGTGCTGTGCTCCCCCGCCCCCCACCTCACCCCTTTGCCCTATGGATCTCTCGGGCTGTTCCTGGTTTGTATCCTTTATAATAAACTACACTCCATAGTGCTTTCCTGGGCTCTGGATCATTCCACTGCATCATTTAACCTGGGAGGGAGTGGGAACATCTAATTTGTAGTTAACCAGGCACAAGTGTGGGTACCCTGGGGACTCTTTTTGGCTGGTGTCTTAAATGGGGGCAGTATTGTGGATGTTCAGTTGCTAAGTTGTGTCCGACTCTGTGACCCCATGGACTGCAGCATGCCAGGCCCCTCTGTCCTCCACTATCTCCTGAAGTCTCACATTCATGTTCACTGAGCTGGTAATGCTATCTAACCATCTCATTCTCTGCTATCCCCTTCTCCTTTAGCCTTCAATCTTTCCCAGCATCAGGGGCTTTTCCAGTGAGTCAGCTTTTCTCATCAGGTGGCCAAAGTATTAGAGCTTCAGCTTCAGCAACAGTCATTCCAATAAATATTCAGGGTTGATTTCCTTTAGGATTGACTGGTTTGATTTCCCTTCTCACTTTCTGGAATCTGTGTTAATTTCAGGTACTGTCAGAATTAAAGGACAGCCAGTTGCTCTTTAGGAATCAAAGAACTGGTGTTGAACAGTGGAGCAGGGTAGATAGGAGAGGTTCTCCTATCATTTTCCAGTACTCTTGGGATTCCTGTGGGTGACCAACATCTGGCAGTACTACCCAGCTGTCACACTGCAGACCTAGCTAAAAACTCCAGTAGGAGTAAAGAGAGAACAAAACATCCAGTTCAGTACTTTAATATACATTATCGTTCCCTGGTGGCTCAATGGTAAAGAATCCATCTGCCAATGCAGGAGACTTGGGTTCAATCCCTGGGTCAGGAAGATTCCCCAGGAGAAGGAAATGGCAACCCACTCCAGTATTCTTGCCTGGGAAATCCCATGGACAAAGAAGCCTGGTGGGCTACAGTCCATGACATTGCAAGAGGCATGCAAAAAGAACATGACTTAGTGACTAAACAACAACATGCAAAATGCTTTAGGAACTGCAAGGTTTGCTACCAGTGGGTACCTTTCCTTGTCTTCTGTGATAATCTAATTTACTGGCATTTGGAGCACACACAGCCTTCAAACCTTTTGGGAAAAGTAAATAAACTATATCTGTCCCTCAAACCTGCTTTGAAAGGTCTTGCCAAATCTGAAAACTCAAATGATAATTTTAATGCTTTGCTGTGCCTTTGTCCCTGATCTCTAAATTGCAGTCAGGGCTCTTGAAAAATTATGTTTAAAAATAAACCTTGTTTCATACCTTGGCTTAAGGGCACAGCATGAGTTATTTTCAGCATTCAAAATCCACTAGATACTAACTAGTAATTTATATACTTGAGACCACTGTCAGGAATTTTAACATTTTTAAAACTATAACTCAAGAACATGGACATCTTAAAGAAAACTGAAAATTTCAGTTAATTCTATCATCAGAATTTTCTGACTTCAAAGAAAAATACGTCTATATATATAAAACATAATTATGCCTTGTAGCATTATGCTTTGTAGCAATACCCAACTATCAAAGAGAACAGACTTGGAAATGCTCATACACTTCAACTACAGTCTCCTAATTCCTCTTATCTCTAAATCCATGAATTCTCCAGTCATGGAAAGCCACTCTCTTCAATATACTTCATAAATGTGATAACCATTTAACATCAGGGTTACCAAAATGTGTTACATGGAACTGACCTTTTAAATTTCACACACTCTAAGTGGAAAAAGGATTTTTAAAATAGGCTCTACTAAAATTCCACTGGTTACTGTGTCCCACCATGTAAAACAGCAAATATCAATCTCTTCCTTCTTTCTTTTGAATTGATTTTTGAGGATTGGAGATATATACTGAGAATGTTATATCTCAATTCATGTATCAGTCATATTAGTACAGATGAGAAGACACCTCTGATCACAAACCAAATTAAACACTGGTTAAATTGAAAAAAAAAAAAAGAGTCATAAACACATAATTTTAAAGTTTACTTTAAAAATGTAAATATCTCCCAATATTTAACAGGTAAAGAAAATAGCATATTGGTTTATTTTCTGTAGTTGTTATATTTTATTTTCCAAGTAATACTGATTAAAAATATTTACACACCTACTTTTTAAGTCCACAGTTTAGCACTCTTATTTGTATGGCTTTAAAAGTTATAGCACAAAATCTTTACATTAAGGATTGGGGAAAAGATTCATTCAAAACAAAGCCTGATATATTATATACATGTTTTTCTCTGTACTTTATTTTAAATACATTAATTTTTAAATGATGCTCATCTTGTTTTCATCTGGTGGTAAAATTACTAGTGCAACTTTTCATCAAAATAAAGTTTACCACAGATATAAATGAATTTTCCCAATTGAAAATGGCCCTTCAGCTGCCATTAAATGAACTTTCTCAATCTAAGTGAAAAAGAATTGGTAGCTGTCATCATAGGAAAAAAAATATAAAGTACTACAGCATCACCTACACTGCTTACAACACAAATTTTGAAAGAACTAGAGATGCTTTATAGAAGTTTAGTTGGTTTTGAAAAGGCACATGGGTGTGTGTGTGTGTTTTTTTTTAAACATTCTAGAAATTCGCCACCACCACTCTGTTTCTGTTGCAGAGATGACATCTATTACTATCCATCAGGGCAGACAAGGATGTTGTTCAAGCTAAAGGAAGCCAGAAGCCAAAATTTAACTGCACAGTAACAATGCACTTTTCTTCATGCAGTCTTGTTTCCTATATATTCAAATTTTCTAACATGCATTAGAATACATAAACTTGTATTCTAATGATTTTACATTTGATTTTACAACATGGGGGGGGGGGGGAAACTTGAGGAAGGACATGACCAGGGAAAGAGAGTAAGAACTCTTACCACAATGAAAATATACATTCGTACCCAACTATATAATAAGAATATAATCCATTTTAAGTTTTCTAGAAATATACTTCTCAAAGCTTCCCATTCACTTACGGGAAAGATCCCTCCTCTGTGGCAAAGTGGGGGGAAATCAGTCTGCTTCCATAGAAACAGTTCAGCACAACAGGAAAGTTTAACTTTGGTCCACATGTCTGTTAGCGTAAGGACAGTCACACTGCCCATCATCAGTTCAAAAACCCAACAGATAACTTTAAAAATATATGCATTTGTTATTTCATTCTAAAACTGGCATAGGTGTTCTGTTCTCATTTCCTGCCTTTTCGGCTTGGGAATCCACTGTTGATTTGGTCTCTAAAGCCTCAGCATCTTCGTGTTCTTCTGTAGCAGCCTCAGCAGCATCTGCCTGGGTAGGCTCTCTCTCCTCTTGGTTCATGATTTCAGGGGTCACTTGATCCAAGTCTGCTTCTAGAAGCTCAGTTTGTACTTCCACTGGCATCTGATTTACCTGTTCAACATGCAGCTCCTCTACATGGACTTCAGTACCTTCTTCAGTCTGAATTCGCCCCACTTCTAGATAACTTACCTGGACCTGCTCTGGAAGCTCACTCATGTGCGACTCGTGCACTTGGCTGTCCTGGAGCAGATCTGGATGGACCTGTTCCACAGTCACTTGTGCTGAGTCCACCTGAACCTGGAGCAGTGGTAACACATGCACCTTCCCAACTTGTTCTATAATAGTCATTGACGTCACAGGTTCAGTTTGCACACGTGTTTCTACTGAAAGAACTTCTTCAGTTACCAGGCGCTCTGAAATATTATGAGTATCACTGAGATGCCTCCTTAATTCATTTCCTTGCATAAACCACAAGTCACACAGAGTACAATGGTTGGGTTTACCTCCAGTGTGTATCACCAGGTGATCTTTGAACTGGTCCCAGCTGTTAAACACACTATTACAGACCTGACATTCATAGAGCTTCTTTCTCCCCTTTTTTGCTCCCACTCCAGTTTGGCATGCAGTCAAGTGACATTTGAGGGTACTATTTCTAGCAAATCGTTCATGACAATTTGGACATTCAAAAGGTTTTTCACCTGTTAGAATAAAAAAAAAATATTGACAAATCAAGAAAAACAGAAAATGCAAAACGTTTTTTTCTTTTTGGGTAATTCTGATAGGACTGTCTTGAATGGAAGAGCAGAACTTATAACTTTGATGTTCCTACCACATCTAAAAGACTATTCTAAGAGGTGGAAATACAAGTTTTTAATGATTCTTATAACTGTGCTCTGGCAAAAAAATAAAAATTTGGATCTGAATGTTGTTCCATGCTTTTTCATTTCTTAAAAAACTGTCTATTTTCCCTTAGATAAAAATCAAAGTCAAATTCCTTTTCGGGGACACGCAGGCCTCTCCATTCCACAGCAGTTTTTGAGCACTTATTGTATTGCCAAGCATGTGCTAGGTAATGAAGATAAATTGTCTTTATTTTAAAAAGTTTCATAGTATAGGCCAGGGTATTTCAGGAAGGTGAAATACATGGACATAAACAAATGCAATATACCATAGAAAGCCTGTTACAGAGAAGAGGGCAATGAAATGGGCTGTAGCAGCACAGAATGATGAATTCTGCCTAAAATGAACTAAAAGAAGTTCAGGAAAGAAAGTTTATTCCAGGAGGAGGCAGAGAGGTGTAAAACAGCATGGCGGGTGAGGAGTAAGACAGGAGGTATCATACTGACTCCCAGATTGCTGGTTTAGAACACCAATCAGAATAAAGAACAGAGATGTTTTAAGGAGGTGTGCAGTAGGATGTGCTGGGGAAGATTACAAACTAAGTTTTGAGTCTGGTGAGTTTGAGGTACTCAGAGCAAAGTGGCAAAGTCTGGTGGACAGAAGAACACTAAGGAAAGTTAAGGAAGAAATTTCAAGAAGATAAGGTAGTAAACAGTGTTCAACCGAACAGAAATGACAGGTAGGGTAACAACAGGGGGTTTGGGTCACGCTAGCAAGAACACTGGGAGTGGTACGGGGCAATCAGGAGCCATGCTACAGTGGGGGGTAAGGGAGAGTGAGTGAGGCAAGTCAATGAAAACAGTCAGTACAGAAATTCTTTCAAGAAGGCTTGGAAGTGAAGAAGAGAAGTGGCTCAATGGGGACAAGTCAAAAAGAGGTTCTTTCAGTTAGAAAAGAATCATTACTTATTTTCTAAGGAAGAAGGAACCAGTGGAGAAGGAATGACAGGTGAAACATGGTTTTGGAGAAGACATTGAGATGTGGGATTCAGGACTGGCCTTGAAAAACAGGAAAATATCTTTCTCTGTAATAAGAGGAAGAGACAATGAAGGAACCACACAGGTTTCTCCACAACTAAGTTGGGGTGTGGACGGGGGCTCGAGTACTGCACTGAAGGTCTAGAATGGCAATTAGGAAAGGAAAGATATACACCAGATACCAAAGGCCTAACTTAAGGTCTGATAAGACTTTTTGCCAGAAGTGCTCAGCAGGGAGCAGAAGTAAATGACTACAATAATTCCAGGATGTAGGGTTCAAAGCCAAGGAAATGTGCTTAGAGCACAAGAAAAAGTGGCACAGGGAAGTATACAATGAGGATAAGATGAAGTAAGAAATGGGGCAATAAATGAGGTTTAAGGGATACAGAAGGACAGGCAGTCTAAATGAGGTTAAATGAGGTTGAGTCCCACATCCAGAGGAAGGAAAGCAGGAGAGAAGTCAAGAGAAAGGATGATGCCTGGAGAGAACAGGAGGAAGATTTCAGAGGTGGAGCCTCAGTGATGATCAGGTCCCAGACGTGACCCTCATACTCACGTGGAACCGACACAGTCAAGGAATAACTCTGAGCTGTGTTTTTTCCCTGAAAAAACAACTATAACTTATTTTTTATATAATTTTCATAAGATGAAAAAATTAATGAGAAAAGATCTAATCACCTAGAATTACTGTTGGTACAGAAACTCTTTAACTAGAACGGTTTTAATAGTATATAATTTTTCACTATAAAATGAAGCCTACAAATAAAAATTGTTGTTAACTTCTTTAAAGGGCAATTTGATAATATTTGCCAAGATTTAAAATGCACATATCCTTTAACTTGGCAATTCTGTCAAAAATTAAGTTACTTAAACATGTACACAAAAATTATGTACAGGTATGTTTGCTGCAGCACAGTTTGTAGTGAATGGCAAAAGACTAGCAACAACCTAAAATTGTATCATCACAAGTGATGAAGTAAATTAGGGCATGCAGGTAACTGAAATTCCATATGGTCACAGTGACCAAAAAAAAAAAAAGTACATTCATGAATGTTTCACATATTAAAAAGATTTCAAAATAAATTAAATGGTGTAACACTGTACTGTATGTTGCTGTTTGTCTTTTTTTTTTTCCCCCAAAAGTTCTGTGTTCATGGTTACTTGAAAATGCAAAGAACATATCTAGAAAGATAAACTTAAGAAAATGAAGGCAGTAATTGCTTCTGGGGAGACCTATTTAAATAGCAAAGAGACTGACTTTTCAGTGCACATTATTTGAACTTCTGCTATTTAAAAACTTAATTTAATAAAGTCTAGAAAACAGTAACAAATTATACTTTAGATGTGTAAAAAGTACAATCTTCAAAGTGCTTTTATCAATTTCTCTTGTCATAACTGTATAAAGGAGGTGTCATTACTCTTATTTACACAGATAAGGAGAGAGATCCAACAATAAAGAGACCAGTCAAGTTCATCAGGCTGACAAATGTCAGAAATGGAGCCTGGGAATACCAGGGCTTAGGACTCCACGCTTTCACTGCGGGACCCAAGATTCAATCCCTGGTCATGGAACTAAGATCCCACAAGCTGCACAGTCAGGCCAAAACAAAAAAACTGGAGCCTGAATCTAACACTGGTTTCCAAACCCTTATTTTTTCCTAAGCTTCCATACTACCTCCCTGGAAAACTAGGGAACAATTATTTGAAAACATGGTTACAGGTCATCTTTAAGTTCTCTTTCACACTGGGTGTCCCACAGGTATAGCTGTCAGTATATCTGCTCTCTCCCCTCATCCCCAAATTTTACCCTTCTGTATTTTTCTTTCTAACTTATTAAACTTTCGATCACTAAGCCACTCAAATCAGAAAGCTGGGAGTCACCTTCTCTTTACCCCTTACTTGCTCAGTCATGTCCGACTCTTTGTGTTACCATGAACTGCAGCCCACCAGATTTCTCTGTCCAAGGGATTCTCCAGGCAAGAATACTGGAGCAGATTGCCATTCCCTTTTCCAGGGGATCTTCCCGACCCAGGAATCGAACCCAGTCTCCTGCATTGGCAGGCAGATTCTTTACTGTCTGAGCCACCAAGGAAGCCCCTCTTTTATCTCCACATCTCACCAGTCACCAAACCCTGCTGACTTTGCCTACTTCATGTTATGCCTTCAAGCCTTTACCATATTACTGCCTTTATTCAACCCCTCATCCTTGTTTAGATTACTCAAACAACTTCCTAATTAGATCCACTAGGCTTCACCCACTCCAATCCTGCCAGTTCTCTGTCTCTAAAGCATCAATTTAATCAGAAATCTTCCTGGGTTAAATTTCTTAAAAGTTTCTTAAAAGTGACCCCTCTTCCAAGATAAAATCTAACTCATGTGGAGCATTTATCTAACCTAACTCTACATGATCTTAGCCTCATCTCTCATCACTTTCTCTCTTCTGTCCTTGAACCACTGGCAGATGATCCATGATGCCAAAGTGCATGTCATACAGTCAGCCTCAAAACTCTTTAGCTGCATCTCCTGGCGTTCCTCTACTTGGACCCAATTCTCTAGCCATAATAACCAGCTAACAAGTACTCCATGTGAGTGACTTTTCTCTCCTCATATCTGTACACTTAGCTTCTTTTGCTGGAGGGCTCGTCTTGCGGCTAACTCCTTTTCCTTTGAGAATCATCATAGGATAAACCCTCTAGGAAGTCATCCTTGTCCTCCACCATAAACAGCATAAGCAGGCATTCCCATAAGACTCTGTGCTTACCTCTATCAGCACTTAGCTGACTGTGCCTGCTTGTCTCTCTTCACAAAACTTTGAACTCCTTGAAGGTAGGTACTTTAAACCTCCATGACCTAAAGTACAGAAACCTTACCCTTTTCACCTCCCTGGCTGTCCACCAGTCCTGACATGTTTGCCTTGGAGAGATGAGGGACATGGGCAAATACTGCCTACCTATCTGCCAGCTCAAAACAGATAAGCAAATGTTCGCAAAGGTATAAACATGTTTGGAATTGTTTATAAATGTATTCATCTATGTAATGTGCTAACATAAGGCAGATAAAGTAAAAACAGTTAACAGTGAAGTTTCATAATTAAAATTTCATAATCAATAATCTTTAATAATAATCACAGTGTTTATGTATATCTTTTGAAAATACAAAAATTGGCAAGGTGTAAGAATGACAATTAACTTCAAAGTTAATACTGACTTTGCTTTGATAGCATCAATATCAACAAACTAGTATTATAAAAACACTGCTCGGCCTACACATTAGGAAACACATGAAATGGTTTCTATAATGCTAGTAAAAAAGAATTTAGACACTCAGCTTGAAGTGAGTGTGGAAAAAAAATAAACTTCTAATATAAAATATTTGTTACTTACCTGTATGTTTTCGAAGATGCTCTTTAAAATGTCCAAAGTGGTCAAACTGCTTCTCACAGTACTGACATATGTGTATTTTTTTCCCAGTTCTCTGCTTCTTACTGACTCCACCTTCTTCCAGGTGGTAACAACTGAGGTGCTGTTTCCACGCGCTCTCCCGAAGATACCTTTTATTGCATATTTCACACTTGAAACTCTCAGTGGAGTGTGATTTCATGTGTTCCTTAAAATGGTAAAACAATTTAAATGAACGGTTACATTTCTCACAATGGAACAAGTCCTTCACATGTGACAGCTGAAGTTCCACAATTTCAATACCTTCTACCTGTTTGCTTGTGGGGTCAGATGCACAGCCGTCTTCATCTTTAATCTGCCCTTTTCTATCGCCTTGGCGGTACTTGCTGGTAATATCTGCCAACAATGCCAGAGCGGAATCATCAGAGGAACCTGTGCTCTGAATGTACTTTATGGACTGCTTGGCAGAAGCCACTTCCTCCAACGTTTCGATGCCTTCATCTTCCACTTCGATTGTGCCTTCGGCAATCTCCACCTCAATTTCAACAGGTTCAGATTCTGCAGATGGCAATGACTCAGTGATAACATTTGAAGTTTCTGCAATCTTTCTTTTTTTTGCTTCATTTTTCCCTGTGGTATTTTCCTCTAGTGGAGCTGAGTTTTCTTTGTTTCTGAAATACATAACACAGGGGTTTAAAAATTCTCTAAGACCAATCAATCCAACTAGGCTTTTTGGAAGAAATTTTTAAGCTGATAATAAAACTTGTATGGAATGGCAGAAAACAAGATTGCAAGACTTATATTAGCTGATATCCAGACTTATTACAAAGCTACAAAATTCAGACAATCTGACTGGCGAAAGGACAGACATGGAGATTAATGGAGTAAAAGTCCAGAAATAGACTACACGTGTATAGTTAATTGATTTTTGAAAAAAGGTTCCAAGATAATTTAATGGAGAAAACATATAACAGTAGTGTTGGAACAACTGCTATCTGTGTAGGAAAAATAAACCTTGACCCTTACTCACTTAACATACACAAAAAAAATTAAAAATGGATCACAGACTTAAATGTAAGAACTATTACACTTCCAGCAGAAAACTGGATAAAAATCTTTGCAACTTCAAAGATTTCTTAAGTAAAACGCAGAAAGCAAAAACTGTGAGTAAAAACTGGTAAGATAGTTTTCATCAAAATTAAAAACTTTGTCGTTTGAAATACATAGTTATTAACAGGAAGGCAAGCCACAGACCAGAAGCAAAATATTTGCAAACATATTTGTCAAAGCTTTTATATAGACAATATAAAAAGAATTCTTACAATTCCATAAACTCAATCTCTTCAGACAACTGTTGGGAAACAATTCCCCATGAGTCCCTCGTGTTTCTGCGTATCTTGTGAAGACAGCTTTGGTTCTGGATTATTTTTCAAAGGTGTTTGCAGAAAGGCCAACAGCCTTGGAATACAGAGTGGCTCCTCTGGAGAAAACAGCTTTACTTACTGTCCATATAATAATGTCCCTGATATGGGACAAAGGTCAGGCAGGTTTGTCTGCAGCCCATTCTAAAAGACTTTGGTTTCCCAAGCTGGGGCTTCTTCATCTGTGATGAAAACCAACCACATGCAAGCCACTCTATGTCGCCTCTGGGACTTGAGGAAGGGAAAGGTGGCACAAATAGAGTAATAAAGTTCTTTTTTCTGACCTACGAGTCCTGTTATCTTCTATCAGCATCCGTAAGATCATGGCAGATAATATGCTGGCATGCAAGTAGGGTACCATCTCTGATCCCTCACAGATCTTGCCAGATATTGGCAACCAAAAACAGGATGCTGAAAAAGATAAGACTTTATGGAACAGGAAGGATCAGACCTCACAGAGCAAATGGAATTTGAGGAAGTCTGCTGGAGCTGGCATCAAACACGTTTACCAAATTGTAAGGTCAACAATTGGTTCTCTACTGACTTGCCTACTGCTCTGAGCTGAACTGTGCGCCCTCAAAAGATATGATGAAGTCCTGACCCAGTAACTATGAACGGGACCTTATTTAGAATGTCTTCACAGATGTAATCAAGTTGAGGTCATCAAAGCAGGCCCTACACTATGTCCTCGTAAGAAGGACATTGGACCCAAAGAAGAAAAGGCCATATGAAAACAGGGGGAAGATGGCAATGTGAAGATGGAGGCAGAAACTGGAGTTATGCTGTCACAAACCAAAGAACACCTGGGGCTACCAGCCTACGAGAAAGGAGAAAGTCAAGTCAAGGAAGGAAGGATTCTCCTCTAGAGGCTTCCGAGGGAATGTGGCCCTACCAACAGCTTGATTTAGGACTTCTAGCCTCCAGAACTGTGTTAAGACATGCAGTGTGTGGTACTTTGTTACAGTAGCCGCAGGAAATGAAAACACCTATGAATAAGGAAAGGTACACTCTTTTGAAAAAGCCATCACTGCGGAAGTCAAGTCTGAGTCAGTTCAGAGGCAAAAACCACGTGGCCCCAAGTGGAAAGCAATGTGGATGGGGCTGCTGAATCAAGAGAACCCCCAAACAGACACTGATGGGGTCTGCAACGACCTTTCTGCCTGACACAGGGCTTTGAGGGGGATGAAAACACTGGAGGTTTGTCTGGCTGAGCCACACGCAGCTCAGGTGCTGCTGGAAACCAAAATGTACCTTTCTCACTGGCACAGTCACTTTCTCTCTCCACAGCATTTCCCCTTCTACCTTTTCCCTTTGCCCCTAACTTAACTTTACCTGCTTGGAGAAAGAGAATTACAGTTGAAGCCAAAGTCTCCTTGCTCTCAAGGGTAAATAGTGAAGACACCATACACATCCAAGCATGCTAAGGAAAACTCAAGGATGGTAAAGACACAAATTGCCATAGCTCTATTATATTCCACAGATGTCCAACTCACCATTCCATCTCTCATCCTGAGAGGAGGTGGTTGCATTCCAGTGTTGGGAGTTTGGGCAAGGTCACAGAAGGAAAGGGAGGTTGTCTTTTGGGTGGGGCTGATGTTACAGAAAAATTCAAATAAACATTGTGGCCAACACAATATTTACTGTCATTGCTTTGACATCTGTATGCACAGCAGAGATTGGTATGGTATGGGCATTTACTACTTCCCCATAAGTACCAGAGATGGACCATTTCCATCGAGAAGAGCCACAAGTAGAGAAGAGGTACTGGAAGAAACTCCCCTGACATTAGCCACCAATAGCTAGGTCAGGATTTAGCATGAGTGTCTCTATCTCTTGATGTATACATTGCTGACATCCTATTGACTGGCAAGCCTGAAGTCTCAGTCTGAAAAGCCCTGACTATAGTGTCACGACACTTCTACCAGCAGAGACTGCTGGTAAGTGATTAAGTGAAACTCGCTCAGTTGTGTCCAACTCTTTGTGACGCCATGGACTGTAAACCACTACGCTCCTCTGTCCATAGGATTCTCCATTCAAGAATACTGGAGTGGGTTGCTACTTCCTTCTCGAGGGGTTGTTCCCGACCCAGGGATTGAACCTGGGTCTCCTGCATTGCAGGCAGACTCTTTACTATCTGAGCCAAGTCCAGAGACTGCTGATAAATCCCAACAAAATTCAGAGGACTGCTCACCAAGTAAAATTTCTTGGGACTAGATAGGCAGTCACACATTCAATTCCCTCCAGCAGTAAAAACAAAACAAACAAAAAAACAGCTTCTCTACCTCCTCCCTCTTCCCACCAAACATGAGGCCCAGTAACTCACTGGATTTTTTAGGTACTACTAAGGAAAGCATGTGCCTCACCTGGGCACATCTATCAATACTTTTTTCTGTATATTACTCAGTCTGCAAAGCAGCACCTTTTAAGTGGGCCTCCAACCAATAGGCTGCACTGGAAGTTTCCATATAACTGTAGCACATTCCCCACCTTCAGGGACCCCCTAGTCTAATGACTTCTTTGAGCTCTAAGTCTGAAACTGATACTTTTTGCAGATTGTAGCATCTGCTACTGGCAGGCTGTCTCCACCCAAAGATATTCCTTGGATTTTGGACTTGCCAATTCCTTGACATGGCCATGAGGTACACTCACTCTGACAAGAAAGGGTTAGCTGCTATATGATTCTTGTTAAAAGTGATGCCTGATCCATGGAAGCTTTGAGGCTCTCCAGCCTGATATTGCCATTTCAGAGTGTTAACTAAAACTTTATGACTATCAAGGTAAAAGGTGCCCAACAAGTCTCACTGGTCCCAAAGAAATACTTACATTCAAGAAAGCAGTTGAACTCTTGGCTTTACATGAAAAAGTGGTAGCACCCCTGCTGCCCAAAGAGAGCCACTAGATCAGCGGGGTCTTTCATTCACTGGTGGCCTAGCTAAGCTGAAGGCTGATGGTATTCACTGGGCTGCCAGATGCTCAGTCTCAGCACCAACTTTGCAAAACCAAAAGTGGACACAGTTGCTCTGCTTAGAAGGCAGAACTCAAGGATGTTTTCGTCACTCTAGACGAATACACACTCTGGACGACACTCTCCACAATGAATCTTGAGATATTTTTACCGACTCCCAAGCTACTGCAAATGGCCAAGCTGTCTGGGAGACCTGGAAATCTTGGCAGATTAAAGACAACCATCTTGAGGTCAAAACTATGGAGACAAAGAGCTGTTGATCCAACTATCTGAGTAAGTAGTTTAGATACTCATGGTAAAGGCCTGTTCTCTAATGATACCAACTGGAATCAAGTTGCTTATCAACCTACACTGTCCAGATTTCCATCACTGCTGCCTATGTCCCACATTATTCTGAACCTGGTGATACATCCACCATCAGAGACTGAGCAGAAAGTCAAGGACCCTATGCTTCTGATGGAGACATTACTATAGCATGTCAGACTTGTGACACTGGCCAAAAGTTGGCCTGTCTTATGGTGAACGAAGCCAAATCATACAGGGCTTTGTCTCCAACTGTTTCTGGCAGACCGACTACACTAGACCTTTGGACCCATCTCAGGGCTATATGCCTCTCAAGTACTGACACTTTTTCAGGTTATGCTGCCGCTGTTCAAGCCTGAGCAGCTGGTTCTGGCCACACCATCCGGCTCTTGGAACTGAGCTGTGTCATATGTTCAGCTTTCCGGACCATCTGTAGTCTGATACTGATGTACCAAATGCTACTCAATCGGCTGTTAGTCAAGGTGTTGTTAAACCTTTCAAGCTTTCTACCATCCAGATACTGGTGGTATAGAGAACTGCAGCAACTTTCTCAAACACTGACTCAGAAAACTTTCTGACTCTACTTCCCTCCCTTCTTCCTCATCCAAAAATCCAGTAGACAGTTTAAGTCATCAAATTCCACTATGCCCAGAATCATCTATTTTTGGCTGCCAGCTGGGTAATAACGATCAAGGCAAATGGAGTAGGAAGTTACATAAACCTCAGTGGAAATTCAGGGTCCGCTGCGACCATTCTTAGACATGATCTTCTTCCTTCTGCCCAATGGCAACCTGGGGTCAGCTTGGTCAAAAGTGTGCCTAGCAGATTTAAACTTAGTTCCAGTTCAGCTATCTGGATTCTCTTATGGAATGGACATCATCTTAGATCCTAAGCATAATGACTACTTGGTTGAATATACTGCTTGCCAAGTGTTCTTAGATTGGTTCTCATGACCCAAGGTGGAAGACATAATAGGTATCTT